ACGGATGGTATAGATCAGCCGTCAAGCGTTTCCGTTTCCTCCGCGAGCGGACTCGAAATTCGCGTTGGACCCACGATCCGATGGAAGCCAGGCTGAGCCTCCTAAGCAGACTGCTGAGGACTGACGCGTCGTTCATATTTTTCTATTACGCCCTACACACCGATGTATCCCTCCCTCCCCCTCCATCGCCCCTGCAAAAGGACACTTCATTGTCTATTGGACAGGGCTAGATCGTCGACCATTATTTCCCTAACGATACGTTTTCACGTGACAGTAAACCGTGACTGTTACGGTCATAACACTAAATGTTATGACCAAAAATGCATTTATAATCAATTTTAATCTGCAAAACGCAGTGAAATAAAGATTTCCAAAAAATTTAACGTTTTATTGTCACGTGAAAACGTACGTTAAAGATCGAACAGACGAATTCTCCAGAAATGATTCAGCATGTCGTAGATCGTGAAATTAGTCTTTTGAATAATCGTCGGACGCAGCAGTTTGCTGGATTCTTCAGGCTGGATACAGAGTACTCGTGCTTTCCCGTCGACGACGAAACGAACCTCATTTTTCTGTTAATAGATGTAAGGGATAGCGTGGTTTATTGATTTCTGTAATATCACGACGACCAGTCGCCGGTTGGAACGATTCATTTAAACGGTCGCGAAACGGACTCGTTCACGATTCGATCCCGTAATTAGACGCACGCCGACAGGTAGGATAGGCTCGTCGCGTCACGCGTGCCACCATCTTTCTTTCGTTTAGATGCTTGGCTCGAATTAAGAACCGTAACACGGGATACGTTCTCCAGGGTACATATTTACCACAAACGATTCATGCCATGGTAAGCTTCGAGATTGAACTTCGTGGATTAAACGTTGTCAACTGGACAGATCAATAATTCGATTTCATTAATACTGTAGTCATGTAATTCAAATTTAGAATGTCAGCTGAACCGAGAGAACCATGGAGAACATGTATATTTACTTAATCCGTAAAAAGAATTTAAAAAAAAAAAATAAAATTTAAAACAATTCACAAGATCTTATAGAACTTTCTGTCCTAGTCTTATTTAATAATTAATGACGGACTCACCGAGACTATTTCAAGAATCTTCAGACATGCTGGAAGCGACGCTTTAAAATCATCAACTGTCAGATTAATCTTTGAAAATAATGCGGGCATCGTGATCCTGAATGTTTAATCGCGAAGCTTCCCGGGTTTCGATCGCGTATTCGCGAAAATTTCTATCATATTTCAGTACGACGAGTGGTCTTGGTCAAAATGTATCTATTTCCATCGCCGGGCTGGTGAAACCTCCTATTCCGGAAGTCCGTTCAGTGACTCCGAGCGAAAGATTCGGGAGAAAACTCGATTACCTTAGCTCCATTTCGGGTGTATTTATAGCATGACGATTCGATTGACGGACACTTCATTAGCGTCGCTAGATAGGAAAATGGTAGATAATCTCACCACAAAGATAGCAGACAGGATTTCTACTAGGTATTTATATATCGCGGGAATGTGGGGTTAGATCTCCTGTCCCAGGATTCGAGCATCGTTTAAATAATGGAAGACTGCAGCGACCGATTACGTTAGATGGTTAAAAAAAAAAAAAAAACAAGACCAAGCACACTTATTGATACTGCGTCGGATTATACATAACGAATGACCAAATCAAAATATATACAATACTAAGCGTTCGTTTTTTTTTTTTTTAAAGAAAATAGCCGCGAACACACGGTGGTTTCTAAGGTTTATACAAATTCTTCGGAACCCCATCGAGCATACCATAATGAGCGAATAACGGTCAAAAAATGGACAGGTTGCAGGAAAAGTACGCTAAATGAAAAATTCGTATCATTTAGTCTTAAACTCCGAAGAGAATATTCACCAGAACTACACCTAGCTGTTAATGAAATTTATATCATCTCAAAGAAGAACGTCTAATTACTATCCCTAGTTACAAGCCACCCCACTTAGACTACACCGAATATTTTTCAAACGTACAAGTATACCACACGTCCAAAGTTTGCACTTTTCCTGTAACATGGTCAACAACGAGTGCAAAGTATGCGCAACACGACCCAACGCGCTGATCAGTCGAGTAAATTTCCTTTCCGCGTGACGAAAACGGCCGGTGAAACGAGAATCGATGGCGAACGAGACCAAATAAGGAAAACTGGACGAAGAATAAGAAGACGTCGAGCGAAGTCGATGTGCGTCTCGTCGAAGTCGCACAAAGGAGGACTGTGAAGGTCACAGTGGTCCCTGAGGAGAAGCAAAAAAAAAAAAAATGAAAGAAAAAGCGAATCTTACGCGTATTCCTTACACGTCTTTTCCGTCCGTGCACGGTCGGTGAAATCAATTACTTTTGTAGGTTTGTTTTTTAGCGATAAGTTTCCTACGTACTCTCCCTCTTTCTCTCTCTCACTTTCTATTGAATCGAGACAGGAGCTTTATCGGGCACGGAGCTGTTGTATACTGATTTCTGCGCAAGTGCATGGCTCCATAATATGTCACACAGTGCGACGTAACTGTCGTTGACGATCGAGTGAAATGTGCGCGGTGTTTTAGAGTTGTTCCAAGTAAATTTGTTTACTGTTAAGATATCCAAGGATCTTTCTTCGATTCGTCGCGAATACAGAAGAAAGAAATTGCTGAAACTCTGCAATTTCAACGACACTAATCTCACGATGCAATTATAAATTAGGGAGAAAAAACAACGACGCGTTCTAGTTTCCGTTCGACGTTTACCCGCGGCGACAAAGATGAGTCGTTATTTATACAAGCGTGCTCTGTTCGCGATGAAACATTCGCGAACGATATCGAAAGGATATATATCAAAGGTTAATCGTTTATCGTCACGCGAACCTCTACCTCTGGTTACACCTTTCGTGGAATGACGACGTTAAATCGTGCCGGTTCAAACGGTAAAACACGCGACAACGACCACCGATAGACGATAGTTACGCGCGGACTATTGTGAGATACTACGGCGAAAAACGATTCTGCCCGCGAAATATAAGGAAATTTATATTATTCTTTTTTTTCTTTTTCGACAAGCTATAATGCATCAAGAGGGAGAAGCGTGCAAAAATATTGGACCACAACACTTCTCTTGTAATGCGTAAATTCGCAACAGAAAAAATGGTGACGAGAATTTCTTTATGTACCAGAACTTGAGGATCGTTTCTATGGATTTCTTGTGCATTTATAGCATTACGATTACTTGAAAACTTGGACGTAAGATTTTCTTTAATTACCGCTTTTGTAAATCACTCAACCGAAATTAAAGTCTCCATAAACATGCCAGGTGTATAATTAGAATGTATGTTACAAAGTAATGTTCGTGGTTGCCCAATAGATTTGCACGCGATTGCGAACGAACGAATATTCTAACGAAAATATAAAACGAAAGAGAGTAAGAAAAATTCCTAAATAGTTCTTTTTATATAAACGGATCACACACACGGGCGCGAGTAGTCTGTATTGATCTATGCTGTAAGTCGTATAAATACGAGGATACGATACTCAAAGTAATTGGCTTCCTAGCTAGGATTAATCGAGTCTATAGGATTATACGTTTAACGAACCGCAATGATAATGAAACACACTGTATCGGTAGACTGTATATAGCGGTGTACGGTAGAGTACAGTTAAGTCGTCGATCGTCTGCTTAAGAAAAAAGCCGCAAAAGCCGAGATGTTCTTTGTTTGGTCTTAGTCCCGTAGCATATGTAACGCGAAATGGAAGTTTAATTAATATCAGTCTGGACAACAGGGTATCATTAGCATCGTGCATTCAAACACGTTAGATTACCAGAGAGAAGAAGCCATTTTAAAACGTTAGACCTTTTTTTGTTTTCTGTTGTTTTTTTTTGGGACGCAACATTGATTTTCGATTCGTAGAACGCGTAAAATCTGAATCGTTCCAGATAGTCAAGGGTTCTTTCTTAATCAGGCCATCGAGTTATCGTTGAATGTATTAAGCTAAAATAATTATATGAAAGCTTACACCTCGCAGACATACAGCCTCTGCCACTAAATGTATATAAGGGACATTATATGTATATTGAAGTATGTATAATGAGAGATAGTGTAAATTGATTTTTAGAAGCGATGATCTATACACCTTTTCAATTAGACCTAAGCTGTTGACTCTCGCCTGAACGGAATAATGTACCGCTTTCTTTCTAGTTTTTTTTTTTTGTCAATTCGTTACGTTTACCACGTTCATCTGTTCACTCGGTTATTTATCGTCGTATAATTGTGAAACGAACGGAATACTTCGTATCTCTATGTTACACACAGATGTATGTGCTAACAACTATACGGACCCCATAATCGAGGAGGGCTTTAAAAGGTTCAAATGTGTAGTAAATTTGTAACTGATTGATATTTAAATGTAATACGTATGTAATATCGAGGAAGAATGGACGAGAGGGAGCTTTGAATAGTGCCTGCTTAAAAAAAATGAACAACCCGATCTACTGTATCTGTAAATGGTTAGATATGGTACCGTACGTTGTTTCGTACATGGTAAATTCTATAGGACTACCATAGCCAAGTATGGGAAACAGTGTTGTAATGAAATACTTTCGTTACGTTTGGTGATTACGCATATCGTCATGCACAACGAAACACGCTTATCTCGAGTCATCCAGCGATTAAATCCAAATATTTGTTCGACGGGACATTTGGTTCTGAACCAACTTATCCTGACATTTCTTTCGATCTCATACTTATACAGTTGAAACCAAACGGATACGTTGGCATTTATCATGTTTTGCGGTACTCGTATTCTACTGTTACATCATGCCACTCTTCCCCATACTATACTATGAGTTCATGTTATTCAATATTCTTAAATGTACATAAAACCTATGTGGTCGTAATTGTATGTAAATACTGTTAAACGTTCTATAACTCCTCTGAAATATGAATACAAGGAAAAATTGGTTATTTAGTATAATTCTGACTCAAGGGTGTTTCACTTACTCTTATCTCAGATTCCTTCACTTGCAGTGTAGTGTCCATTATAGCTCCACCGATCACTACCTGTATTTCATTACACACTTAATTAGACAAGAACGGTTTCTAATAATCCTATCTCATTTAAACTTACTGGACTTCGTTTCGGCATTATGGAACAATTGGATGCTGAACTGATTGAGATATTTTGATGTCTTTCCGTGAGATTCACTGCAATCTCTGCTGCCATGTTTGCATTATTTTCTATAAGCGCCATATCTGAGAATGTAAATATAAATTCTAGTTGTACTCCTCTTGATTTTGAGTTATAAACATTTATTCACCCATACTTACTGGCCTGAAGGGATTGACCATGCGTGATTTTGTTTAATTCTTCCAATAAAAATGGAGTTACATTCTTTCCAGTTATGCCTTGGCTTTCTGCAGCTTCCAGAGCTTTGCATATGGCTGATTCCATTTCATTTGGATCTAATGCATACTTTTCAGGAATAGGAACAGCAAACAATAATCCTGTCTGAAGACCTAACTCCTTTTGTGCTCTCAGAACATCTCCAGCTTCTTTTGAGTTAGACACTTTATAAGGTGCTTTTATATTTTGAAATGTTTGTCTACAGTAGAATGCTGGAAAGTGGTCTGTTTCACCAATTGTTATAACAGGAACTCCTTGGGTTTCCTATGAGAAAGTACAAATCACAATGAATCCTAAAGCATAATACAACTAATCTGCTTTATAAGAGGATATACTAACTAGATATTCCAGTGTTTTTCCAATATCTAAAATAGATTTAACACCTGAGCAAACAACAGCTACAGGAGTATGTCCAAGTTCAATCAAGTCAGTACTAATATCAAATGTTAATTCTGCCCCGCGGTGAACACCACCAATTCCTCCTGTTGCCATTATAGGTAGGCCTGATAAATTTGCTAGTAACAAGGTTGCACTAACAGTTGTTCCCCCGTTTAATTTTTGTGAAATAATTAAGGATATGTCTCTACGAGAACATTTAATAGTTTTTTTAGAATCTGATCTAGACAAAATTTCCAATTGCTCCTGATTCAAACCGACATGCACCTGCCCTTTTAAAATTGCTATGGTAGCAGGTACAGCACCCTAAAAGGAGTACAGAAATCTAATATGATAGATCCCTCGTGTTACTGTAACTTTACTGTAATTTAGACAGTTACTTTTGACCTAACAGCATTCTCAACTCTAATAGCTGTCTTTAAATTATCAGGATAAGGCATTCCATGAGTGATGATTGTGGACTCTAAGGCAACAATTGGTTGACCATTTCTTCTTGCTGCTTCTACATCATGACCATAAGTAAATTTGCTACAATCGGTGATAGATCGTCGATTATGCGACGAATTGATTCTTCTCACTTTCCAAAAAAGTCTTCGAAAATGTGTCCACTGCATTTTGTAACTACAAAACATTCGAATGTGGCTGATCCCGATTATTACTATGTAGCAATGAAATGTTCTACTAAGAACGACAAGCTGATAACGTGATCATATAAGATATCAACAAGTTACTGAGATTTGACAATCGCACGAAAAACAAAAGCCGAAAGAAATGAAGTAGAGACCGCATGTATGATTAACCTTTGTAAGTTTGTACTCATAATAACATATGAAGTACCGAAAAAGATAATTTTATCGTAACTTGTTTAATTCAGTGTAAGATATCGACCACAAATCGAAGGGATTTATCGATTAGATACCATCGTGATTCTTCATTTAGAATTAATTATAGATCATTTAATCACTTGATTAGTGACCTGTCATATTTAACACATTCTATATAATATTCCACGTAAAGACTTCAACTATGCAATAAATCAAATTTGAATGCGCGTAACCATATTTCATACGTATATACTATAGTCTACTATAAGTCAATCTTTGTATTTAATTCTCTATATAATTTAGTACAATCAAACTTAAAGCCGAGCAAATCTTAATAACGAGTTCTGCTAAATTGCTATTAAAATGTTTATGGATTAATGTTCATTAATAATTTATAAGGTAGTATATGTTGAACTTTGAGTCCAAAAATCAGGGACGTACTATTACGTTATTAGTCAATATAAAATGAAGAAATGAGCAGTTAGAAGTGGACTGCATCTTTCTATATTACATTATACAATTGTAATAATAAATTTTCCATTCAATCTTCTCGACTCTTTCGTATAAATGTAGACATTATCATGCAAATTCATGTAGAACTTCGGGTTTCGTTGTTTACTGCTATTTATCTTCAACAGAGTTTCAAGAACGACTCAGCAAGAAAGTTCAAGGTAATGGTACTCGTGTCGAATACGTCATCGAATAATTTGTATGTTTAATTAGATAACGTATTTAAAACTCAATGGCGAATAAATTAGAAATAGGAAATATGATTCTTTCCAAATAAAATAATATAGAACAATGACGGCAAGCAAAATAACTGAGACATTAAAAATTAAGAAAACACTTTACCGCCAATGTGCCTCGACTAACAGTTGCTACGTTCCTGTAGAAAGTACATATAGCGTGCCGCATATGATTTCGTCAGTTTCAACGCAGTAGGCGCGATAGACTACAAAACGTCTCCGTTTACAAATATTGTTTCCCGGTATTATTTCAGACTAGCATTGCTGGAATCAATTAAACAAAACAATGAAGTCGAAGAAATCAGGTTCTGTTGGAGTACTCTATCTGAAGACCTACAATCTCACACTAGTTTTTGGGTAAAACAAATATTTAATGTTACGATTTTAAATGAAAGTACATGTAGTACCTACATGAAATTTCTAAAATAAAATGTTATTACAGATGGGCTTACATACTTCTTAAGTATTTGCAAAGTGATTTCACTTCTACAGTGGACAGCAATTTATGGCATAATGTTAAATGGCCTGTTATAATTTTTCAACATGCAGCTTTATTAGAGGTAAGAGATTCACTTTAGCTTTGATGAGATAGAAATGAATAAAATTCATATTTTCTCCTTGTCTTACAGATAATACATGCAATAGTTGGTTTGGTGAAATCAAACCCTGTACTTACAATATTTCAAGTCTTTAGTAGAATCATAATTGTGGATGGTGTACTGTTGGCAACTCCTGAAAGTTATGCCGCATCATCCATTGGTCTGCCATTAGCATTACTAGCATGGTCTATAACAGAAATAATTAGATACCTGTATTACTTTATGAATCTCAATGAATGTACCCCATATGTACTTACGTGGTTAAGGTATGTAATTTACAAGATTACACTGAAATCTTACGAACAAGTGTGGTTATTAGAGTTTTTAACATTTCAATTTGTAGGTATACATTATTTCTTGTACTCTATCCAACTGGTGTGACAGGAGAATTATTATGTGCATATGCAGCCACACAATATGCAAAGTCTCACCCAGAAGCCTGGAGTTACACACTTCCAAACTCATGGAATTTCACATTTAGTTATTACTGTATACTTGTAACAATTATGCTGTCATACATTCCCCGTAAGTAGCTTCATTAATGTACTTATTACGAAAAATGTTAATATTATGTGTGAGTTATATGATTACAGTTGTTTTCATCTTGTTACAGTTTTCCCACAATTGTTTTTCCACATGGTTGCTCAGAGGCATAAAATTCTGGGAAAAGACTCGCTTAAGAAAGCTCAGTAATGTAAAAAAGTATATTTATATTTACTTTTAACAACATGTTTCTACTTTATTATATTGGAAATAAATATTTGAGTTTATAAAACCCAAGTTGTATTTCTTTCCTCAGTGTTAAAAACATGTTATTTTTATAAAAAATTGTTATTACAAAAAAGAAGAGATTTAATGCTGCAAAGTGATAAATTATATTTAGACTGTGGATTTTATGCATGCTAACATCAGGATTGTTTACACCTAGCATAATAATTTAATGAGATTGTTATTTGTAACCTGATAGAATTTTTATTTGAGTAAAAAAAGATTTATTTAATTGTACCTAGTTCCTATAAATTTTCTGGACAAATCTATATTTACATAATCTAATTACAATTTACCAGAATTTAACATTTGAATTCGCGAATAGAAAACGTATGTGATCCCCATCACAAAATCATAATCCTATTAAAAATTTAAACCCTAGATGTTAGCAACCAAGTAGTATTAAATAAATATATTTTACAATTTGTTCGTTTTTTCTGTGTTCGTTAGATATACTTAACAGTATAATGAATGTAAATTTAAAATGCCGTTAGAGAATAGAGATCAAGGTACAGATTCCTTGAAAGATTTTCTTATACAATGTATTTGCTCATATATATATTTTATCGAACGTAAGTGAGTCGTTCGATAGGCCATTTTAAGTGTCCGTTTGAATGAATGTATAAATAAATTATTATTTCAGTGCCATATTCATGATTATTCCATAAAGTTTTGTTACGAACACTTAAAGAAATTATTGCAGCTTGAAAACATGTCCGAGCATAACGATGACACGGAAAATGGTAATGTTTTTGAACTGTCAATGTTTAGTCATGACAAAATCAACTTTTTGTTTACATTATTCACGTTATACTTTTTTTTTGTTTTAAATTTATACAATGAAATGTTTTTTTCTATTTTTTCCATAAATACTATATAATAAAACTTAAAAAGACGTATATTCGATTATGATTTTGTATCATAGGAAATTAGTTTCTTGTCGAATATTAAATTGCAGAGTAGCTGATAACAATGTTCATTTTTTCTAAAAATAATTTCATCTTGCTTTTGTAATATAATGATAATTTAGTTTGTGTCAATAAAATGAATTTGATAGAGGTTATGCATCATCCATGAAAGCACTAAATTCCAGTAATTAAATAAAATGGTTAAGTGAATTAAGATATTAGAGCATTGCTTGAAGATATTCGTCGTAATTTACGGGTGTTTGAATTCGTGAATTAATAGGATAATACCGAGGTAGTTAAGTCACGTGTACGAATTTACTGGAATATGTAAATATATATTATATACGTATATAAATACATAAATAACATTAGTCATAAAATTACGTATGTTTACAGCGGACGAATGTTTCCGCGGATCGCATTTCTTTTAATTAATCAGCGAGAATTATTTATCCACCAACTTTGGCGAAAATGTATATTCATGTATCCTCATTTAAGTCAGTAAATCATTCTTTTTCATTTAATTGTTATTTTTAATTCCCCCTCTTCTTAACTCTATTATCTCTCTATTATCTTCATGGATTACCAATGCATGTCAAATTTTCTGAGACTAACAGAAACTAGCCATTCTTAATGAATGATGTAACATTTGATAAAAATCATAGTTACAGATTTATACTGTTATATGTTTATGTTTAATATGTTTTAATTTTTTTCGATTTTTTCTCAAATATAATATTAATAAACATTATTTTTTTATATTAATATTAGAGAAGAAACCCAATGAGGAAGCAGCAAATAGTTCTTCAGAGCAAGAAGAGGTAGAAGACTCTGACATGGAAAAGATTCGTAAATATTTAGCACAAAAGTTAAGGGTTTTTGATTCATCAAAGTATGATGGACAGTCACAGCAGAAAACTCTTCGTGAACTCAGCCTGAATGGAGTAGTAGAATATATAAAGGAAAATGAGAACCTTAAAATTATTACAATGGCTGGAGCTGGCATCTCAACCTGCAAGTATTTGCGTAACTTTCACTTACAATAATGAAAGGATATCATATAATTTATATAAATTTTTTTGTTCACAGCTGCAGGAATTCCTGATTTTCGGTCACCATCTAGTGGACTTTATCACAATTTAGAGAAATACAATTTACCTCAGCCTCAAGCTATCTTTGATCTGGATTTTTTTATGGAAAACCCAGAGCCCTTTTTCATGCTTGCAAGGGAATTGCTACCTGAGGGATTTAAGCCTACCCCGTGCCATTATTTCATTCGTCTTCTTTGGGAAAAAGGAATGCTCTTGAGACACTATACACAAAACATTGATACACTAGAAAGGATGGCTGGCTTACCTCCAGAGAAATTAGTCGAAGCTCATGGAACATTTCATACTGGGCGGTGTCTTAAGTGTCGAGCACCTTATACTCTTCCATGGATGAAAAGTGACTATTTTAAAGTTTATTTAATTGCATTAATTATAACAGTACATGCTTTCTGAATGTTGCTATTTTTTGTAGAGAAAATCATTGAAGGTATCATACCAAAGTGTGAAGAATGTGACGAGGGTGTGGTAAAACCTGATATAGTGTTCTTTGGAGAAATGTTACCTGAACGTTTTCATGATCTTATCGAGCGTGATTTCGTGCAAGCGGATTTGTTAATAATTATGGGTTCCAGTTTAGTTGTTCAGCCGTTTGCGTCCTTGGTAGACAGGTGCATATTATTAAACAATAATTAGTTATTAAAGTTTAGTCTAAGAACTGTTATTTATAATGCAATTTTTATTCTTGTCAAGGGTACGATCTAATTGTCCACGTCTACTAATCAATAAGGAAAAAGTGGGCGTGCAAGATCGTCTATCGCGACTTCTAGGACTACGGCAGGGCTTAGTTTTCGATACAAAAGGCTCTCATGGTGGTCGCGACGTTGCCTGGTTAGGTGATTGCAATACTGGTTGTCAATTATTAGCTGAAAAACTGGGTTGGGCTGTACGTTTTTTTCATACACAATCTTCTTTACGATCTGAAAATTAACAATGGCAATTGTATATAAGATTACTTCTTTTCAGGATGAATTAAGAGATCTCGTAAAGAAAGAACATGAACGATTAGACGCAGAAGAAAAAACGGATTAACAATAACTTCTTGTAAGGTAAACTCATCTTCTAACATAATTGTTATTTAATTTTATCGTTATCTTTACAAAACAGAAGCTATTTCGACAAATAATATTTTGTTTTAAAATAATTGTAAAAATATTGTTGAAACTATTAAAGTTTTAACATAGTTGTAACTATATTTGCTTCATCAAGTTTTACTGAAAGTAGACAAAAAAATGATATTGAAGCAATGTAATGTGGAACGCTCAAGATCGTGTAAATAATTTATTTCTTGTACTAGTGTACAATAGTGTTAGGTAAATGAATTGTGATTATGGCAGTTGAGTCACATGTACAAATAGAACATAATAAAATTCTATAAAGTGTGTTCAGTATTCGGGTGTCAATTCATACTGAACGGTTTAACAATAACTTCCTGAGTTTCCTGCTGGTGCACTTGGCCTTCACCCACAGCTGGTGCAGCCATAGGTTTACGACCGCAATACTGTAACTGCAGATCACAATATTCTGTTACTAGTATTTAATAAAATTATTAATTAAATAAATTTCACTTTCGCGCAGTAGTAACTTACGCGTCTACCGCATAAATTTTCGAAACGAGGTTTCACAAAACTCCATGGACCCATATTTTGTGGTTCTTCTTGGCTCCATATAAAAGCTAAAGAAAATATTTTCAGTAATGTCCCAGTTTCTGACAAACATGTCGTTTCGTCGCTTACCCTTTGCATTTTTATATCTGTCAAGCTCTTGTAATAATTCATACACTGGAAAGGGGCACAGACTCTCTAGCCTAATGATTGCTACATTCTTCTGTCCTGTGGTATCTCTGTAATTATCGAGAGCATAAAAATGTTTACCACTCATTAAAATCACCTTATCCACGTCTGCCTTTGCCGCTTTCTCATCCCCTGTCGGAAGATCATTTATGCTATCAAGGGGAAATGGACCAATGAGTTTATTCTAGTAGTTTTTTTTTTTAAATATGCGATATACCTATAACGTTCATGAACCTGGTTCGCGGTCCCATGTCTTCTAGCGATGATGTCGCAGCACTGTGACGTAGTAATATTTTAGGAGCCGCTACTATTAAAGGTTTCCGGAAGTGTCTTACCATCTAAAACGGAGCAGGTATAGGCGTAGAATAAAAAATTATTCAGAGCATAAGAATTATTGTTATACCTGTCTCCTGAGCAAATGAAAGTATTGCGCTGGGGTGGTAGGGTTCACCACGTGCATATTCACATCATCACCATCAGGCTTGTTCTCATTGCTATCCGTAAGCTGTAAAAATCTCTCTATTCTACAGGAACTATGTTCAGGACCAGCACCATCGTAGCCATGTGGTAGAAGCATAGTTAGACCACTGCTTAACATCCATTTTGCTTCGCCGCTAGTCACAAAGGTGTCGACGATGATCTGTGCTCCGTTAAAGAAATCTCCAAATTGTGCCTCCCAGATGGTCAAGGTTGTCGGTAAAGCTATGCTCATTCCATATTCGTAACCCAGGACTGCTTCTTCCGACAGAATACTGTTAGCTAACTCTAACCTTCCCGTTTGACCCTTAATCATTCCATTTAGAGCGATCTGTATGTCTGAAACCATGATTAATAATTAATTAAACGATACTACTAAAACCGTATGGATCGTTGCCTACTCACTTCCTGTCGATTGATCAACGAGCATGGCATGTCTATGGGAAAACGTTCCTCGACCCACATCCTGCCCACTTATTCTAACATTGTAGCCTTGATACAACAGACTTCCGACAGCCAAAGCTTCGGCAGTTGCCCAGTCCAACCGATCGCCATTGGTCACTTTTTTCAATCTGGATTGAATGTGACCCTTCATTAATTGTGGGTGGACGGTCTACGTGGTAAAGTTCATACTCGAGTAAATAGAAAAGTTAAAGTCCAGGTGAAGTTATGACGTCGATATTGTACACACTCACCGAATCATCGTCAACACGGACACTCTTTTCGGCAATGAATCTCAGTAGACTCACGTCCACACCAGTGTCCCATTGCGTCACATTTGCATCAGCTTGCCGTAACCCTGTCCACAGACCTGCAAAGTACGTAGGTTCTGGGACATAACTGTCCACCTGTTTCAGAGTTTGATTCAACCAAGCGGTGTAGTTGTCAACGGTTTCTCTAGCCTTCTCCACGGTAAAGATATTGCACTTTACCAGTTTATCTAAGTAACGATCCGGTACCGATCTAAATACGTAAAAACAAAGAACGGCTTTCTCTTTCATTCATCAGGTACGAATGCAACTTTAAAACACTTACGAGCGATTTTGTATAATTTTGTAAATAACAGGGTTCGTAAACAGAGGATCGTCCAACTCGTTGTGTCCCCATCTCCTGAAACAGTTTAGGTCTACGAAGACATCTTTCCGGAACGTTCGCTGGTACATGAACGCTAGTCTAGTAGCATAAACGACCATCTGCGGTGTTCAACAATTAAACGATTTCTTATTCGTGCGGCGAATACAATGTAATACGTGGTTGCACACCTCAGGATCGTCCCCGTTAACGTGAATCACCGGAGCCTCGATCATCTTCGCCAAATCCGTGCAGTATCTCGACGATCTTCCTCTAGATGCTGGTGTTGTGAAACCCAGTTGATTGTTGACGACCAAATGAATCGTTCCGCCTATCTCGAAGTGTGGAACCGAGGACAAGGCTAAACATTCTTGATCGACACCTTGGGCAGCATAAGCGGCGTCTCCATGAACCTGGAACAAGTGTTTAAATCTTAGATTAATCTGGGTTGACATCTGATAGATCTTAAGCTTTAGGATTTAACAAACATTGTAATCCTTGTTTTTACCTGAATATTCAACACTTTATCGCTCCATCGTCTATCCACGTTCTCGCTGTAAGCTCCGTCCTTAAAAGCCTGCATCATTCCTCGAGTCTTCCCCATGGAGACAGGATTCACGGCTTCTAAATGGGATGGATTCCGCAGCATGGTCACGTGAAGGTTTCGTCCGTCGATGTCGAGGTCGGTGGAGGACACCAAGTGACTGATCACGTCGCCGGTTGCTTTCACTCCATCGGGAAATTCAGAGAAACCGCGAAGTTTCCAGAACAACTTCTCCGGTGGCAAGTTTAGCATACCAGTGAGGAGGTTCAGTCGACCTCGGTGTGGCATACCGAGGACGATGTACTTCAAGCCGTCTAAAAGTCCAGTGATCTATTTAGTATTAAACAAGATGTCCAGGTGGTACCTAGTCTATTAGGGTTGACTAGGTTCTTTTTTAAACATTTATTTGTACTTTCAATTACCGTTTGCACACAATTGGAAAAACTCATGGAAGAAGGCCATCATACTTTCGGCACCCTCGCCCCCGTAACGTTTCAGGCTGACGAACTTGATGGCCAGAAAGTTGTCGAACGCTTGGCTCTTCAGCATTTCTTTAGCGATCGCCAATCGCGTTTCGTCCGTCAAACGATCGGCCATACTTCTCTCTACGGTTTCTGCGAACCATTCTCTCTCCTCCTCGGTCTGTGTAGACATTAATACAAATCATCTACTTATAGAGATCTTCTATAAAGAAATAAAAGCGCTATCAATGCTAAACGATTGATTTCAGACGTTTATTGTAATCCATTACTGATCGTTACCTGTAAGTAACTGAACTCGAGACCTACTGTCCCGCTGTAGGTCTCGTTCAGAAATTTTAAAGCCTCTTCCACTGTTCCTTCTTTTTTGTTGGTCGTTAGGATCCCTTCGAAGGAAACTTTATCCGTTAAACGCAGTCCAAACTTTTCCGGATCTAATTCTGCCAGTGGAATCGGTCTCGTTGGGGAGATTGGGTCTATATCGGCTTGTTTGTGACCGAATTCCCTGTACGCGGTGACCAGTCTGTAGAAGTTACTGTTCTTCGATCGTGTTTCCAGATAATTTTTCGGTACTGAAAAGGGGATCGCGACAGAAAAAAGATATATTAATGAATGGCAATAATAAAATCACCAAAATCACGAGGTCTAATTGCGTAATTAAATTTGACCGTGTCGCGATCGTTATCGCGGCTCGATACCAGCAGCCGAAATCGTTTCTCCTGATATTGCAAATATTTTTACTACGTTCTGTGCTTCGTGATAACAAGAATCGTATCGTGAGTCTACGGTGTAAACACGTCGGGGTGTTGTAAAAACATGTGAATCGTATGTTTAACAAATTCTGCGTATTATGTACGTAAATGTTTCACGAATGTTCGCGAGCATTAACAACCTAAAACGGTACGAGAAAATAAATATCATGCGAAAAGTTTTCGAATCCGTATTTTCATTGCTCGAGGAAACTATTTATATTTAGAACTTTTTATCATGTTTACTTCGCGAGTAGTTAACGGATTTCAGTTCGAATTCACCACGCATGCGCAGAAAACCACCGCGCATTTGAGAATTCCGCAAGAATCTCGGATCAGTTTGTCCGAGACGGAGGTGCAGGTGGAAGTGTTTTCGTCGCGGTTCAAGTTTTTTTTATTCATTGTTTGGTGTTTAAAGTGTATAATCATTAGAATTTCGAGCTGTATCTTCGCAGTTTAGGCATGGACGCCTAAAACCAATGACTTCGTTGAGGTAAGAACAATTTTTTGCGAATAAAGATCGTACTTCTTTTTTCTTCGCCGTTCGAGAACGTTTAGGTATTGCAACAATTTGTAGAATAAAACGCAGTTACCAATTATACTGTATATACATATGCATAGACTGACGTAAACAAACGCAATCGCATATCTATATCTATAGGATAAATTGCAAATTCGGTATTTTACAAAAACATCGTAGTCCAAGAAAAATTCGACTCGTCCAGTGAGGTCTCTTTTTATCGGATCGTCCTTTTATCTCCATTCAATGATGTCATTCTGCATACTATAATATATTAATACTTATATTCGGGAATACCTTCGAACTGTCGTGCCGCCTTCGGTTTATAGCCGTACACACCATTTTCACTGTGATACGAACGAACATAGGTGCTCGGTCGGTAAATGTCGCGTCCGGAAATCGGAGGACAATTTATCCACCGATAACACGGATGATGCTTGGGAATGTTTCGTAAAATCGCGTGCATTCTCTTGGAGAAATCCGTGAAGCAACTGACAATCCTCTATCGCGATACCCCGGATCCGCTTATTATACCTATCCCCTCCATGGATCTCGGTACCCAATGTTATCTGTTTATTCGAGATTGTCTTCGGTAATGCAAAACATCGAATCATGTTGAACGGGTCAAGGATATATCGATCTACAACTAGCTGTTATACAGACTGTACAGTACAGTGTCGTTCGAAAAGTTCAGGATTATCCATTAGGATTAGAAAACTTTCAGTCAAAAAAATACAAAATAATATTCGAGCTTCTTTTACTTGGTAAATCTGTCAAATATTGGCGTTGATTTTATTAACATTATACTTTCATATTTGCAAACATAGGTAAACAATTGTAAAAGGTCACAGTGGAATAGATTCATTAAAAGGTTACGCGCTCCTAAAAGACGTAAGATTGTTTCGTTAGTGGTCAATGACAGTAAAGCTAGGATTTGTTTATGAATCGATGAGGGTTTACAAATAGTTTATATGTCGGGATAGGCCGTTCCCACGAGGTCGTTGCCTCTGTACCTAAATTTATACGTGACAATGTTGAACTTCGTGCCTCCCAGAGACACTGGACAATTGCCGTCTGGTCGTGCATAGAAACAGACTGTGTATAGTGCCATCTCTAATTCTGGCGAGGTACCCACGAATATGGTCGTCACGGGTTTATCCTGCCCGCTATACTTCGTCCTTATTTTTACGATTGAAGCTTTCTGAAAGGCAAAACATTATACTTTAGTAGGCGTTCAGGTTTTTTTCAGCCTACGTTGCTAAAAACTGACGTTCCCAGGTGTCAGATGCATCACCTAAGCTTAAACTAGACTCGAAGACCTCGCATTTAATCTTTCCTAAAATTCAATATCTAAAGCTACGTCTACACTATATAGCAAAGTTATATAACATTTTTCTTTCTGTTTTTTTAACAAGTTTTACAACTTTGCTATATAACGTGTTATGTTATATAGTGTAGACGCAGCTTAAGATTTTTGAAAACTAGCTTACGTCTCCCAAGTCAACTTTCTTCAAATATCCATTGTAGTCGGCCTTTCCGCTGGCCTCCTCCTTGCTATAGAAGATCCAATTGTGCAGGCCAACCACTTCGGTGCCAGTCGCGGCGTTCTTAAGCTCCGCCATGAACACGTGCTCGAATCCGGAGCTACCGATTTTTCCTTGCCCGCGGGAGAACAGATTGAACCATATCTTCCTCAAGTTCTCCTTGTAGTCGTAGTAATCCTTTCGAATCTGGCCTTTGTCGGCCAAGAACCTCATCGCCGCGGACATCACGTTCGTGCTGAGGAACGTGTCAACTAGGAGGCTCTCTTCTTGCCTTTGCAACGGGCTTATGTGTTCGTTGACATTGGTGTCTGGTTGATAATTGTCATAGATCGATATGACTCTCTGGATCGTTGGACCTTGGAAGGCTTCCGTGTTCACCGTGAACAGTCTGCGAGGAAAACACCGAGACTTTTATGTCTAACCAGTTCTCTGGCACCAACACCACTTGAATCATGTATCATTTAGCTTCAAGAACGTCTTTTGACTTACGGTTGGGGCGCGTCGTCCGTCGTGCTGCTGCTAGACGTTTGCTTCTGGAGGTTCAGGGTTATGTGTCTGTTCGCGTTGTTGTTGTCTTTGATGAACAGAGCCTCGGCAAGTTTCTCTAGATCCTCATCCGTGATTGTGTTGCCTTTGCTGTAGGTAGGATTGCTCGAGTAGGCTTTGTTCGCAGAGCTGGCTGCTCCTGCTGCAGCTGCGCCCGCTAGTGCACCTCCTGCTAGTGCACCACCCGCTATTGCACCCGTGGAAGGCCTGGTTCGACCGGGTTGAGCGGGTGTTTGGGGTCTTGGCTGGGCCTGGCCTATTGGATCATCACGAAAACTGATGATTTCTGTTCTATATCCGATTAGTTCCACTGTCCTTATGGTTCTGGGACTAACCTGGTTGGCTAGGGTAACCTGGTTGATTTGGATAACCAGGTTGTCTTGGAGAAGGAGTTGGAGAGTTGGGCCTGCTACCACCGCCGGCGACATCAGCCCAGGTTTTGCCGGGGGAACCGGGACTTCCTGGCCTGGAGGGAGGTGGAGTGGTGCTGCTGGGATTCAAACTACCAACGTACAGTGTTGACACTTGATTGCCTCCGGTTCCTAGTTGATTAGCAGCCGGACGCACCTGTCCTGGCCCTGATGTGGGTGTTCCTAGAATCGAAGGACGGAAAGATGAAGTTCGTGAACTCTAAAAGATTTAGACGAGGGGAAGAATAATTTTTGCTCACCTGGCGGTGATAGCGACGAGGGACTTCCTGGGACGGAAGAGGGCCTTGATCCTAAAATAAAGTGAGACTTCCTTTGTAATTTTCGCGTTCATTTTTGTACAGTTAGAAGAACATAGTAAATCGCACCTGGTGTTTGTGGCTGAGATGGTTCCTGAGGTAGGGTTAGCGGTCGTGGGGCTGGATTGTTTCCAGGGGCTGGACCTGGTCTGACACCTGAAGTACAATCACGAGTTATAAAATCTACGTCGTTTTTTTTTTCGATTAAAACTCTGTTCAGTACCTGGCGATTGAGGCTGCCCGGGGGTAGCTCTCGGCGTCGAAACAGGCTTGGGACCTTTCATTAAACAAACGAAGTTCCATTTATTGTTCATCGTTCATACGATATCTTTAATCTTGCTTAACCGTTATGATACCTTGTAAGTTTCCTTTCGGAAAACCCACAAAGCCAACGTATCGTCTCTAAGGTACTAAAAGGGTTAACTGTTCGATAAACTATACCTGCGGGCTGTGGTCTTGGGGTGGTACCAGGAAGAGACGCTGGTCTGGTAGCTAAATACATACGGAAATTTTTCAGAACTTCAACACTGACATCAAATTAAAATCAGTATTACTATTTCAAAAATAAATTACCTCCAGGACTGAGTGCTGGTCCCTGGTTAGGCAATTTCGGTTGTGGTCGTCCGGGTTCCCCGGCTCCAGTAAGGTCCGCTGCCCAATCTCTGTACCCCTGACCACCTGTCCCTCCAGTTCCCGGTTTACCTGGCTTTGGTACCGCGATGTCCAGGCCCACTTCCGTTCCAGGGTTCGGTTTATTTGGTTTCGCGTTGTTTCTTATATTTTGCCCGTTCGAATTGACGCCTATCGCCAGACCAGGATCACCGGCACCGATCACTGCCGAGCCCAGATTGGTCGGACTGTTTGGTGGTTTGCTGGTCGTCGGCGCGACTGAACTTGGTGCCACCGTTGTAGTTGTCGTGGTGGTCGTGTCTTTGTCCTTCTTCTTCCAGAACTTCCATCCTGCCTCGGTGTCGTCTAATAAACATCGATAGCTATGTTAACATCTAGTCGTTGATTGTTTAAATACCCTAGTAGCATTTATGGTTGGCCAACGGTATACAAAATAGGGCCTACGATGAAAAAGCACGAGCTTAGTGTTCAGCTGATCTTTCACAGAAAGTTTACTTCTCCCTTTTAACCATCTTTAACACAATAAAAATTAACCAAACACATATCTGTTTGTTTAGGAATTCTTTCTAATGAGGATATAGAGAAAGAATCTTCTGGCACTTTAACAATGGAAATTCGTATTGAAAATAATCTTCTGCGCCGTTTCTTTTCAACCCTTTCGTTCACTGGAGTTATCTAATAATTGGGTCGACCGATAAACCGTCGACTCTTACTCACAGAATAAAAAAGTTCTGATCGAGAAATTTATAGCGTCGATTATATGTTACCAGGCTTTTCCTCGCGGCTACATCTGCGACTTATCTCAAACCTCCGAGCACAATTCGAGGAATCTCGGGGCTGGATTCCTCCGTTTCAAAATCGAAGAGTGGAAAACATACGTTCTAGCATGAACTCGCGATAACCTTGATCGAATGCAGAGAGAAGAAAAAAAAAGCGTAAGGATTCATCAGAGTAGAATGTTTAGAATCAAAAGTCACGTACTCGCGGACGTACTAGAGCAGATAACGTACATTCTCCGTCTAAACAGCTCTTACATATTAATAATTTACGTAACGATGTGAAACTCCGAACAACAAATATTTCGACAAATATTTTAACAAACGTCACCGAACATCGAAACAAGACCGTAATTCTAAATAGCTAAACGCAATATCACCGCTTGGAGGGTGTTCAATTCCTTATACGAAACAAAAAAAAAACATGGAATATCAACAATCCACGAAGTATACAGTAAAAGTTAGCTATAGACCATTAGGAAACGTTCCTTTCACTTCCCTCGACGTGATTTCTTTTCGTTTCGTTTCCAGTGACGATAGCTCAAAATCCAAATCACAATAAATTTGACTTCGACAGACATTACCAAGGTTAAAAATCGAATAGATGATGTCCACTTACCAACGATCAAAGACACCGCGAGAAGAGTGATAAACAATGTCAAGCTTCGACTTTTCATGATCTCTCCTGATTGCTTGACGTCCTAGGAGAGAAAATCTGCTCGATCTTGGATTTCCAGCGCAATAAGGATCGTGAACGTTGCCGCGACGTAGGCGTTTTAAGACGAACTGAGGCCTCGGCCGGCTCGTTTCAGCTCGCCTCCGGCCGCTTATACTTTCCTCTTTGCCATCTTGTTTCTCATTGGCACGCCTCGCTCGACCCTGGTTAAGGTCGTCGCACGGTCAGACCGGCTTCGTTACATGTACCGACCAAAATCTGTGTCGATCTTCTTGGAAGAGTGATGTCAGTCTCGGTTGCGATCTTGAATTCATGGACGTGATGGGATCGTCCGACCGTTGGTAACCGCTCGCGTTTAATTCGACGCGTATAATGACATTGAGTTGACTTCCTTTCGTGGAAATTCTATTGTCAACTGAATTGATCGTGATCGTTGTTGATTCTCTTTGGATCCAGGCGATAAATACTCTGTTTTGGTGAATTCGATGGTATATGTGGTCGATGCAAACAGATGGTAATAGTTATGATCGCAGATGTTTATGTAAATTCAGATGTTCGAGGGCGAATGTCTAGATTGGACAATGAAACATTAGGCCGAGGAATGAAACATAGACGACGAGGCAACGTGTGAAACAGATGTTACATTATGTCGTGTAAATACAGAAAAGATTGTAGGAAAAATTATGCAAACGGAGGCCCCAGTATTAATTACACACGGTAGACACGTGAACTTACTAATTCGCAGAACGGTTTTTTTTTATTCAGGAATAATCGATACCAGACATTCCTACGTTCATTAAAGTCTCTTATATACAATATATACACACATCACGAGTTTCTCACGACGATCCTGGAGTTGATTCTCGTTAGATTCTCGGCTTAACGATACACAGTTTATGTTATACATATATTCGTGTTTCACTGTATGAATAACCGTGTAATTGCATGGAATACAATGTAATCTCGACGGAGAATCTTCGCTGCGGATTTTCAGCTTCCGATCAGGGGGAAGTAGATCGCTACCCATAGAATAAACAGAATTATCAGGAGCAGCATCAGCCTCGAACGGAAGGAATCCCAACCGACCAGAATGTACTTTGGTCGTCTTTGAGCATCATCATCTTGTAAATCGTACTAAAATTTTAGGATCGATAACAGTATGAACAAAACCTACAATTGTACTGGACTCCCGTCCTGGGAAGCCAAAGTGATCATCATAATTTACTAAAGTGTATAAAAATCGATTTTGTTATAGACAAATGCCTTTTGAAACCTAGCACAGAGTGCTGAACCTTAACGATCAAACAGTTAAATCGTTATTTCTAAATATCTTCTGTATCTGTGATCGCACGAGATGTAACGTATAATGTATTAAGTAAATGTTAAAATTGAGAAATTCAAAGAGACAAAATCGATCAGTCTGACTTTTGAGAGGTTCAGTGACGTTAATTACATCGTCGTCGACGTCTTCGTTTCCCTGCAGCCTCTGGCTACTCGAGTTCTGTCGCATTTGCGTGGATTTCTCTTGGGTAGTCTTCGTGTTGCCTCGAATCGCGTTCTTCTTGCTCGGTTGGACTCTCGAAGGTCCTGGATTATCGAATGTGGACAGTCCAATGGCCACGCTTCTGTTATCCGCTGTTAGTGCATTCTCCTTTTTATCCTCGATGGCTTCTTTCCTCGTCGATTCGCTTATGGTTGCGTTTTCGGTCGCTGCATTGTCCCCTGTAGGTCAGTTTTCCGTTTCAATTCAAACTGTTATGGACTCGGGCGGGTAGGAACATTTTAAGCACATTGTAAAAACAATTTTGTGTAAACAATTTTCTTTCGATTTGTTTTCTTTTGTTGATTCGGATGTTACCTCTTCCGGGATCCCTCCGCTCAGGATCTCGTACTTGAGACAAAAAGTTCTGCAAGTATCGCGCAATCTTCTCCCTTTCCTGCTTCAGATTGCCGGGTCGGTGTTTCCTTCGATGCATCTACCACGAAACACAGGTTCCAGCTGTTCCACGAGTTCGTTTCTGATACCGATCTATCGTTTGTGCTGCGAAAAATACAAGAGTTAAATGAGTGTGAATAGTGCCCTCGAAATTAAATTGTTCACGAACTGGAGCACCGTATGACTTGTCGAATTCAAAAGAACACTTGAATATAATGATCTTCAATAAAACTTTCAAACATTATAAATTTCAAAAACCAGCCACAGGGAAGCCTTATATCAATTTTCTATTAAACTATCTTCCTATTTCCAGAAGCTTAAACATTCCCATTATCTAATAACTAGACTGTGGATTTTTATGCAAAATAACATTTTCTAAAGTAAGTTATAAAGACTGGAGCGAATGTAGAAATTTATATTTCCTCTTAAGTATTTTATTGGGTTCAGAATAAAACAGAAATCTCATTGGATCCGATGAAAGTTTTGCCTTATCGTATTGCACAGAGCCCTATAGGCTATAAATGCATCAAATCCGCAGTCGACCAATAACAAACAGGTCCCCCGAACATTTTATCGCGACCTAAGCTTGGCTTCGTGTGTAACGAAGGATTTACATGTCCTTCGAATACTGTTCTCAAGGCTTCCCAATTATTTCTTACTGAAACGTGAACTGCAACAACGCGTCGTCCAAGAAGATTGCTGTCCCATCAGATTCTCATCGTGCCCAACCAGGTCGCATCCGAGAGAACGCGTTCTGTCCCAGAGCGTCATATATTCGCGGATCATATGCAAACTTCAAGGTCCACGACCCACGACGAACTTCACGATCCTTCGTCCTCGATAAATCAATGACGACCATCGTTGCCATCTAAAAGAGGCTAATAATCCTCGATAATATTGCAGCACTTGAGAAACTTTTCGCTGTCGTTGATTCGAGTTATCACTGTACGAACAGACGTTCGTTATTTGACTCGATAGAATTTTCGATAAGAGATCGATTCGATGTTATCGGAGTAGTAGATCGGCAAGATTATTTATATCGGAATTGGATTCTTCGATCTTGATGGAATCTGATTCTGATTTTGGGTGATTTTGGCTAATTAGAATGATTATTCAGACGTAGTGGTATATCGTTACAATTTATTCGGTTATATACAAACGTTGAATAAAAAAAAGAACAGCTTCGACCGATTTTAAAATTAACAATACTTTCCAAACGTTCGAGCACGTCTCCGCGACCAAAGATACAAAAGTTCCCTGTACAAGGATATTATTTTAGTTTGATGTAATATACATAAATATATTGTATATATATATATATATTTACAGGATCGTTATAATACAATGATAAAAAAAAAATTTCGGTGCGTTCCGTCTACATCTTTCACGGAAGACAAAAGAAATTTATTGTCGACGAGGTTTCACGGTTTTTCAACGGACTATCGTCATCGGTTCGCGATCGTCGAATACGCAGAATAATCGTACGGAACAGTCGTGACGAAACTTTTGTCGCATTACGTAATTCTCGCTGCCATATGGCCGTTCGTAACAGAACTATTACTTTCAGCATGCTTCGAACATCGAGAGATTGACGATGCATCGAAGCATATCGATTCTTACTTGCCAAGAGGGGGAACTAGAAGTAGATTAAAAAATTTTCAAATTTCCTTTATCTTCAGTCATTGTTATCCCCTTGCCTTCTAACATCGATTCAGACTCGTGGTGACGATATCAAAATGGATTTAAGAAACATAAATATTATTCGTTTTCGTTGAGTCAAAGTGAAATATTAGTTGACTGATAATAATATTTGACTTACAGAGTAAATGTACAATTGCGATAAGTACAAGAATTCCTTTTGTTTCTTGGGAACTATTGACGATAAAGTAATTCTGGAGACTCAAGAAAATCATAGGGCAAGGGGTTAAATGGGTCAGACGAATTAACTCGTCATTTGTATTCGACCGAAAATTCCAATTCCCCCTATTCGTCTAATAATTCTTGCATCAATCACACGGTTCCATTTTCTGAGCCCGATTCTCCTGGAGCATCGAAGACCAACGCACAATCCACGACGCCAGGCTCGAGTTACGTAACATATCTTAAAGGACGGATTGGTCCACCGTGAAACATCAACGTCTCGGTCCAATACACAAAGATCTAGACATAGTCTTTACATACTCAACATTCGAATCAATATTCACAGATTACTCTTCAGCATCAAACTATCCATAGTCAGTATCCAAACATAGAACCTCCAGGGGACACACAGACTCATCGCTTCTAAGCACCTCCTCAGTCCCATCGGAACACCAACAGTCCATAAATCGTCTCTACATATCAACACAGACTCTTCAGCATGCTGAACCATCGACAATTTCCACCACAGACCTCCCAGTAGACATCAGAGGTACCTGATCAGGGAAATCCTCTCAGACCAACGACAGGAAACCTCTTGGAAATTTGTTCCGAACCAAAACCCCCCCAAAGGACCCTCCAGCTGTTAGGTCTGTCCCCGTGGTGTTGTTTCTCTTCTTCACAAGACTCGATACTGCGCGAGGAACGTGTAGACGATCACCCAGAGGACCAGAGCGACGATCACCGAGACCAAGAAGACGGTTTTCAAGAAATGCCAGGGACTCTCTAATCGCGACTCCGTTCGTGTCGCCCAGCTCTTGCAACCGCCGTTTCTGCACGGGATGCTGCCAGGCTGCGACGACTGTGTCGATGTCGCCACGTTGCTCGTCGGCAGCGTCGTTTTCACCTCGCCCAGCTCGGTCTCATCCAAGCTTCTCGCCTCAGACTTCGTCAGATCGTACCTCGACGGACTCTCCATCTGAAATCGTCCCGTACAAATGAGTTTAAACCGTGACTGGCTCGGCAACAGTTCTTGGGGTACCACAATGGAGAACGGCTGTGGTTTTATCGTGTTAAAGTAGGCTTTGCCTCGGTTCTGTTATTCGTATGGTTGGACAGCTTGGAGGAGTCAAAACAGAGATAAGGATTTATTTGTTGGACGGATACCGACACATAGACAGGGGGGGGGGGAGAGCTGAATTGAACGGCGGAAGAGATACGGGTGACGTTCGTTTCAAGATTGGGACGTTTAAGACAATTGGTATGCTCTGCGAAATAATGGGAGAAAATCGTGGGGTAGGATGGATGCATCAGTAAATGAACAGATACCGATGAATGAACATTATATTATGTATCTAAAGACGAGTAAGTTAAGTTATTGAAAGGAGCAAGTGATTAAATATTGATTTCTTTTCAGTTCCTTGTTTTATATTCAAGTTTCGCGCCATTGGTCGGAAATGTTCGTTTATTTAACACTAGAACTACCAGCACTAAATGTATACTAAATTAAATTGTATAATATATAAGGCAATCTAGCATAATATACCATAAGATACAATCTGTAGTAAATTAAACACTAACGTAAATTCCGTCAAAAGCTGCATTATAATTTCAGTAATAGTAAAATCGTAAATCTGTGATCTGTCATTTTGACGGATTTGCTAGTTCTAGTGTTAATATTTGTTCATTCTCTGGTGAAATCTGTATGTTTCCTTTCTACAGACTCCTCTCGATTATCTAAAATTCAATTTTAATAGTTACGAAATCGCTTAAGTGTTCATTCACTGGTGAATTTACTCTATTCTGTGGCAGAGAATGAAAATGTATGTATCTGTTTGATGCGGTTTCGAGTCCGGGCGAATAGGATCCGATTAAACTAGATTCAACGACCGCAGCTTCCTATTTTGCGTCGAAATTCGACACGGTTTTGTCGTCGTTGTAAAAACACACGATAATCCCTACCTATTCCAAAACAACATTCAGAGAAAAAGGAATTACGGATCGTGTTTATATAAAAAGATTCGGCAAGGGCACGTCGGCGTGATCGGAATGCTTAGGAGCGAGCAAGTACGCAACGAAACAGGTGTGAAATGCATCCGGCGTGCCGATGCATACTTCAAAGTATGGATTCGTTTTGCAATCATTCGCGACTGTACAGTGTGTTTCATAACTACCACATCGTGAACTTTGATTTTCCAAAGGTGTTCTAATACTATTTTTCTTTTTTTCTTCTTTTTAGTTTTAAATTTAATTTTATCATATGTTCTTTCTGTTACTTGAATATATATTGGGCAAACTTATGCCCACTACAATAAATTGTTATTATTATTTTAATACTGTTCAGTCAGATATACGAAAAATTTTCCCATTATGGACATTCGTGCATACAAACGATCTGACAAAATAAAAATTGAACAAACTAGTCCTCCCCTTAACAGGTTACCTCGATGATGAAATTAGTATCTACCGGTCTGAAACGCCCTGTACAGTGTTCCCATCTCCTAGATATCTCCTCGATCATTCCTCATCTTTTCAACGTCTACAAAAGAAAATTAAAGAAAGAAATTAAGAAGCATTTGGATGCATTTCGTGGATCGGAGGATGGAATGTACACACGATATCGGTGGTGTGTCGGAGATTATAGGGAGGGAAAGAATGTTCCAGCCACTGATACCGATAGCGGTCGAGTGGCGTGACCGAGGGGACACACGCAGGTGAACGCACCGAAATCACGAAGGTGAAAGGAACTCGTGGGTTTATGTTACGTGCGTGTCTGGAATCCGTGTCTTGGGAGGGAAAAAGTCTTGTTCGGGTTCTGGTCCTGTCCCGTAAACCAAGCCCATCATGCTGGTGACCTGGTTCAGATACGGATAGTCCCATATGGAGCCGGGCGTCGGCACTATCACCATCTGGAGAACGGTATTAAACGAACTGAATGGAAATCCTCGAATAAGGGTGTACCTATTTTGGTCAAAATTGAATTAACAATAAAATATTCTACAGTAACGAATGCTAATCGCAATTTTGAAAATCTATAGATTAGAACAATTGTGTAATTTTAATGGTTACCAGATAACCGTGTAGATTTCTGGTCGAGAAACATTTTACCTGTAGCCGATTTTACAAGAAGATCGAAGTCGAACATGCAAAAGTGCAGATTCCATTGAGACTCGAATAGAGGTCGAAGCTTTGTACAAATCGGTCGGGGATCGTTTTCTATACAATATTTTCGCGAAATTTCAACGATTGCGAAAGCAGGCAATAACTGTAGACTTTCGCTCGGCGGTTTCGCGAGGATCACGTGGGCTCCCATGACGGAGGAAGAAATAAATCCAATGTGAAATAAACGCCGCTCAATCACGGCGTTGAGTCACACTGGTGCACAGGGAAGGTCGTGTCGGAAATTGATCGGGTCAATGATTCATGAACCACGTCTGAATTTATCGTGAAAGGTCGTCTCTACGGGCTCACGACAAGCGTAAATAAATCCAATGACGCGTTTCGGATGCAGGCATCGGGGAATTCAAACATGTTTGGGGGGAAAAAAAACGGATGATAGAAAACAGAATAATCATCGCCATGCAGAATCGACACTTTACTGACTTAAGAAGCCTCGTAAAAGCAAAAACTCACGTTGTTAAACACGTATCCATATTTCTTTCTGGTATGACCGACTCCCGTCATTGCTCAAAGTTCCTCCAGGCTCATGAGCACGTTTCTTCGATCACGAAAAGATTGGTAAACTTAAGAGTCCGGTAATTGACAAGTTTCCGTAAATCCAGTTCCCAAAACGTTCACAATAAGTTTTATATAAGATATTCAATGTCTTCTTTTGTTTTTTTCAAATAGTTTAAGATAACGTAACCACCGATTTCTCGATTGTATCGCACTTACTTCGCTAGTGTCGGGTATTTCGTTTCACGAGTACCGGTAGAGGAGACCCGAGGAGAGCCACCGTGCGATAGGAAGGTCGTAGTTTACTCGCGTACGACGCCGTAGGAACTGACCAATTACGCGGACCGTGGCCAATTATCGGACCTTATCAGCCCCGACCCCCGATCTTTCGTTATCGAATCGCTTGCTCCCGCGTATACTTGTCCGATCGCTCCAATCTTCTCGCGTGGAGGTGGTAATTTTTCTTTTTTTTTTTTCAAGTGAACCCTCCCAACTAATTGTATCGCTACCAGACGAATCCATGAATCGAGTCGTTCGAGCGTGGAACTGATCAATCGCTGCTGAGAAGCCCAATCTAAGAGAAACTTTGTACAGTGACAAGCAAACTCAGCTTCCCTAGGGGAAAAAAGTGACGTAGAAGAAAAGTCTCCTACCACTTGGTACAATTTCAAATACTGAAATAAATTTTTATTTGGCATAAATTTCAGAAACTTTAGAAACCAAATGATAGGAGGCTGTTTCCCTACGCCACTTCTTCCCTGGCAGAGGCAGAGTTTGCACGTCAGTGTACATCTAGTATTCTGTAACCAAACTTTATCCTTCATTCGATTTATTATTGTTTGTATTTTCTGACACGTCTGCTAGTACTATACATCCCCCCACCTAAGTTCGTTTCCCGTTCAGGCCAAGTTCCGAACTGTATTGAAATGCTAGAGACGATCCTAGGGACTGTTACGCGAGGATACGGCGCAACAGGTCTCAAGGATGCACCAGACTCTCCGTAACGATGATAATGACGATGATTAGAATACCTTGCGCAATCTAGAGAGGCTCATATTCCACAATCGAGCCGGTAACTCGTCCCAGAGCTGGTCGTCCGCGATGCTAAAACACGCTCGCGAGAGAAACGGAGGCGACCGGAATGCTTGGTCGCGCGATCGATCCACATCGAAATTTAATCGGACGCGAGAAAAAACGTGACACCTCGAACACAGGTGAAGTCAGTCGACGAATAATTACCGAGCCTTGTTGTTCTTTTATTTTATTTTATTTTATTCGTGAACTTGCTCCTCTAAGAATATCGACGGCAGCAAAGTACGAATGGACAACTGGAATTTTGTCGATTTGCTTTACCATTTTATTAGCTGGCGTTGCCAGCAAACCCCAAGTGAAATGCGGAAACAGATGGCTATGGTTTTTTAGACAACTGTTGTTGTATATTGCTGGTAATTTGCTCGAAACCTGTACAAAACTGGTTATCAGGGTACTAAATGTATATATGTACATACGATATAATATCGTTGATGTCCCTATCATTCTCACGTTAATGGAGCATTGACATCATTTTTTATCAAAATGATCCACGGTCGAGGAAGCTCGCAGTACTAATTGGAGACGGTATCTCGGCTCGGTGGTGAAAGTATCGACGGATCCACGTCGAACGTGTCGACGAATGAAAGTTGTTGCCTTTGCAGAAATCACCAAGGCTACCGATACGCGGTTGTCGAGATGGTTATGCATCTGTGTGTTCGCTATTAGCGAGCACCTTTCTAAATTTTTTTCTGTTGTGTTGAAAAATAACGCGTACAACGAAAATCAAACGAAGGTGTAAAAACATGACAAACGGTTTTTCTTTGTGGAAAAGGGTGGGGACGGGCCTCGATTACCACGATTATCGACAGCACGATACCCAAGGTCGCGATGAAAACAGGTAATGAAGCGCGTTACCTGAAACGAATCGCGCTAAAAAAAAACTGCATCGTTCAACGATGTGTGTACAAATATCGAGCAATTTGTCAAACGCACTTCGACAATGAACTTCGCAATTGAATTCGATATTGCGCACGTGTGCGCAAACGTACACATTACCGCACGTGACGATTATTGATAGTGGCATAAATATTCATTTCGTCCCTGGAATTGATAAGCATGTTATTGAATAGTTAGAAGTACAAAAAAAAAAAAAAAAAACAAAGAACCGACCGATTATCACCAGTAATTCATGTTTCCGTGACTCAACGGCGTGATCTCACCTGTTGCGGATGCCAAGTGTGCTGAAAAAAGCTCTTGAAGCACCTCATCCTGGATGGTATTCCTTCAATTTCATCAATCACCGCATTATCGCCACTGGATCCTTCCAACCGACTGTCCTTTTACTTTCCTCTTCTTCCTGTCCTTTATCTCCGTCTCGACAGAAAATAGAGTACAGGTTGAACGCGATTAGAGAGCAATAATTACATTGTCGTTGTCAAAAATTCCTGCTTGCGAGTTGAAACGTCGAGGAATTTCACTTTACCACAAGAAGGCTGCGTGACCTTTCACTGGCTCGATCGCAAACAGAAAGAAAAAGAAGAAAAATGAAAAAACGCGACAAAATACTCGTACGAATTGATAGTCGATTAACTACAAGGTAAACAACGTGTGCACAAGGGACAGAGATGAATCGACCTGCAGGTGCACTCGCATTGATGCGACTGCGAGGCCCAGGCGAAAGTTTTCAAGCGTGCGCGACGGTGCGCGGTCAACAACTAATGAAGTTCGGCTCGATAGAGGCAGCAGGACTCCGTATACGTTGCCCGTTCAAACCTATCCGTGTTAAGTTGCGTCTACACTACATAACAAGATAGTGTTGCACAATAAATTGTTAGACAACGTTACTATACAACATATTTTTATAACTTGTTACAAGATCACACTTTTTGGACAAGTCCGTAACAAGTTTGTGTAACATTTTGTATCCCATTATTAATAATGGCGTCACATTTGATGGATAACATGTAACTTGCTATATATCACGAAAAATGTTATATAACATTTGTCTTTCTGTTCTTCCAACAAGTTTTATAACGTGTTATGGTGCATAGTGCAGATGCAGCTTTACGCTTGTCATTCTTTCCATATGAACAAAGTATCAGGGATTCGACGACGCTTCTTACGGTGAACGTTTCAAAACATACGGAATACAGTGAATCCTCGGTAAGTGTTCGAAGGCTCCTCGGTACTGAACATTTAATATTTCAGAAACTAATGGTCATATACGGCTGAAACAAATATCATTGACTTCAGAATTCTATGCTCTGTCACTGTGTTAAAAGTCATTAAAAAATCAGCGTTGCCAAAGACAAAAACGTGCCATATGTTAATACATCATCTACGGATGATACCCTGTTTTACATTGTCTGGGGTCACAGATCAGAAAAAAGCTTCTCTCAAGCCCTTCTCATAAGCAAAGAGTCTTACCATTCGTCATCGATGTCCTTTGTAGCCGAGGGATACGCAAAGGTCGACATTCAGTCGGTTGACATTTGCGAAGATGGTAACCGCATTCTACGCAAGAGAGTTACAAGATAATAGAGTAACGGGATCTTGAAGTTTTTTTTTCCGCGATAAATGTCACAGTAAACGGTACACCGTGGATCTCTGCAGTGTATTCTTAACGTCGAACAGTCTTTATTGTATCCGGGACGCAAACTTGTGCGTACATCTTCCATCGCTTTCAATCGTAATACTAAGAAAATAAATAATTTATAATAATTTTTCGTATACCATCGTAGAAATATCTATTTTTTTATTTCGAAGTCGTGGAAGGAAGCGTGGGATATCTCCTTTTCGTTCCGAAATTCTGCCTTATCTATGGCTGACTGAGGACTTCCGGTATAACGGAGCCAATGTTTCCTAAAACGGAAGTACATTAATGCAAAACCACTGCTGATATATCCAACGACGTTATTCGAAGGAATTGATGAATTTTGTTTACTACGTTTTATCAAATATTTGATAAACTTACATTTCCTCGATTTTAGGCTTTTCCCCTTCTAGACGTCCGACGACAGTACCCTGACTGGTATTCATGCACCATCCTTTTAAACCTAACTCTTTGCCACGTTTTTGGGTATACTGAATTAATGAAAAAATGTTAAGTAATTAAAAATGTTGATTGCAGATCCAACCGCGTATAGGAAACTAAGTTACCGATCGACTCAGAGACTCAAATTCGAATCAGAATCATGTCTGACTGACTCTAATCGAAGTTATAATTCACTTCATTAATTCACGTTACTCATGAAATGCAACGAATTTAAGTTTTAGTGTAATTCTTTCGACGACAATTTATTTTTCAAATGTAAATATCTGTGTACCGATAACTGCGCAGTTCTAGTTACCAATGCCAGATGTCGCTTTCGTTTCAAGTAAGCCGCAAATTCGTGACTCGTTTCTGCCTGTTATTATTCATTTAATCAATGTTTAATAATGACGTTACTTACCTTCCTGAAAAAGACACCTTTAAAGATAGAAAACCGAAATTAGAAACGTCGTGTTTCGTTAGAAGAAAAGGGTTAACGTACCTTGCACTTTTCCGAATACTTCGAAGTCAACACCGATTAATTGCGACATCGTCCGATTCGTAGTTTGTGATGTTACTTCCTGTGATAATACTATGAGAACGCAGAGCACAATTTTAAGGTACTCCTGATTTAACATTAGAACATTATTTAACGAGGATCACGAAAATGCGTCGTGGATTTCATGAAACGACAATTGACTAGATGTCGCTAGGCGAGTTTGTCAGCTGTTCCGGTTGGTTAATACCGGTATCCTTGGAAACTATTTTCGGTGCATTTGAAAGTGAATTAAACTCAATTTAAGTTTCAAGTAGGGTTGATACACACTGTGCTCACATTAATATTACCTTTAATTCACATTCAACCAACACAAAGAGAGAATTTCTCGTACAACACTACAGAGAGTTGGAAACATCCTATATTTAAATATTTGGCTAATTAGACATGAACCATAACTTCATTATTCTTTGCCTTCACTCGTACCGGTAATACAATAACAATTTGCGTTTTAATCGCATGACAATTATTGAGTCATTGCAAAAGTTGGAATAGAATTTTGTTAAAATTGAGAAACCATATTATTATACACAATAATGTATTTAAACATATTCTGAATATTCGCTTACAATATCTCGTTACAACGAATTTAAACATTCATGTCAATAAACGTGTCAAGAGTTTCGCATTGGTTGAGCATGTTAAAACTAATACAGCCTGCAATTTATGCAACATAGGATCGTATTACACACAATACATCAGGTTCAACGTGCATATCGATGGACTACTTTAAAAGTTAAATACGTTTGTTCTAGCAATCAAGTAAGCTAATGCTCCCATCGCCCGTAGCGATAATTATTCAACCGAACGAATTATATACCAATCCGATCGTCGTCGAACATAACCGGTGATTTGTTCCAATTTAAAAATCAAATTCTCTCGCACATGCCTGTCCCTAATCGCGGTTACGTATCCGCGGCGGGTATTGGTCGATGTTCCGGAGCGCGCGCACCAGCGAGCCAGCAACAAAGTCGCGAAGGCGTATAAGTCGTCCCCACCGCGGCCGCCAACGTCAGTCAGTCTGAAACCACGGACTAATACGCGGTCGGTATTTTGTGCGCTTGTTCTCTCGTTGAACGTGAAAAGCTTGGTTGAATCCCCGTCAATCGGGGGGGGACCACACGAGTTTCGATAGATCCGGGCCAAGAATGTATCACATACATTATTTCGCGATCGTTCGATCCATCGTCGACATTTAAAAGGCCGGCCTGCTGCTTTGAAATTGGCATCGCGTATCGTTCCGCGATTCGCGCTATGCTAGACGATCGCCACGAATCGTATACGGCCTCGTTCGTGTGAAAAAAGAAGAAAAAAAAAGAAAACAAAAATCCCTGCGACATTTTAATCGACGCCGAATCACTTTCTGTTAAACGTCACCACTGAGAGCGGATTGATTCGCCGAATTCAGTGTGTATACCAACCACACACGGGGTGTCGGTCGATGAGGTTAGGGTGGCGTACTATTCGCGACAATTCGGCAACGCGATGCGGCTTTGACAGTTGGCTTCATCGTTGTTGGTGTTGCTGTTGTTGCATTCATTCGTCAAGCGTTGTTCGACAAAACGTTGTGTGCAGTGCTTAAGGGCAACACGACCGGCGGCCCCGCGGCTTTGACAGCGCACCGTTAAACGAGTGAGGTTAAGCCCGCGAGAGGTGGTGTCGTCGTCGGTTGTTTGTGCGTGTGCGTCGTCGTGCTGTGCACCGAGAGAAAGAGAGAGGACCAACACGCACGGCTTGAATACAATGACGGCGATGTTAGTGTCCGTGGCGGAGCTGTCGAACATTTTCTTCGTGCTCGCGGTGTCGATATGCTTCTGTGGCGTCTTTTTATTCATCATCAGGTATCTATGGCTTCTTCTTTGACATTTTTTAGTCGTTTTCTCTGAACTGTCCCCTCTGTATATGAAATAGAGTGTACCCCCCCCCCGCCTGTTACGTGTAAAAACATCAGAGTACTTGATAATAATAGTAACAATGATGGCATAAATGTGTAGCACTGATCGTCAGGATTTTCGGTTATCCTGGATACACGTACTTTAATACCGTATTCGTGTTTCCCTTTACCTAAAAGTTTTGTCCCCGTAATCGATAACGTGTATTTATTACTAGACTGCGGATGTTTATGCCAACGTACTGGTGTAGGGACTAATTTAGTGGGACTAGAATTATGTGGAAATCGGTTTACAGATGTCAGGGTTTTATCAGATTCGAAGTGAAATTAATTAACATCGTGTTTACGAATACATTTGGGTAACCTCTTCGATTGTAAGAAAGGAATTGTAATGTGTATGCTAAATGTGTGTAATAGGGGAAATAAATTTTTGGCTTTATCAATTAGTTTGCAAAAAAAAAGAACGCTCATTTGCATATTTTCTGAATGTATTTACGATAAAGAATCATTTGTATTTTGTAGAATAAGTACAGTGGATTCACCAATTTTTTTTACCAGTGGCTATGACCGTAGATTCCTAATCTGGTAGCGTGAGTTCAACTCTTTACGGATCAACTTCATTTTTTTTCTATTCTACTTATTATACATTTTTTATTTGAATGAATTATCCTTGGGACGAAAAGATTTCTCCTATATTATTGTGTTATGTTAATCATTTAAACGGTAAATAACATGTCGACATCACGTTTAGAAAACAGTTTTCTTGGAATTACTTTCTTGTTCTGAAAATAATGACACTTGACGAGTGCATGAATAACCAGTAGCAATTTCAATAAGAAACGTGAGATTTATGATTAATGATACATGCATCTACTTTAACCTGCTCGATAAAAAAACAATTAAGAATTAATCTAGCCCGATGTAAATGAGCCTAAATGGTAATTTGTAATCACAGATGGAGCTATGGGGAGTCTACTAGAGGTAGAACAGTATAGAATTTGAAACAAAAAAACTATTTGAATCTAGTAAATATACAGAGCAGGTATTTCTTCGTATATCTTGAACAAACAATATTTATTCGTCTATTTTTCATTTCATCGAATCGACCAGTTCGCCGTCTGAGAGGCTAGTTTCTTAATGGGCAACTTAAACAAAGGAGACGTGTAAAAAACAAAAGGAATAGACGTGTCCGTTATTCCATCCAATTATCGGAATGTCCATCGCCACTCCGTAGTATGCATCTCGACGGTGTGCTGTTGCCTTTCGAAGAAAAGGGGGAGCTCTCGAAAGTTCAAACAGGTTCATGCCGCGCGAATGATTCGTGCCGGTCGTAACAAACATACGCGTACCCGATCTAGGGGTGTGTAAGTACGCGTAATTTACAAGCTGAGCCGAACTCTGTTCGATTGCTCGAATCGAGTCGAGTGTTTGAATTTTCGAATTACACGGAGCAGATAAGAGAAGAAAATTTTATTCAACGCTACGACAAAAACACTTTGAATAAATAAAGTATCTTCTATTCGTCGCATAATTCTCATCGAATAAATTTATTCATTTGACGCTCGTCGAAAAATGATACTTTTTTTATTCGAACATCGAATAACAAATAAAATTTTTCCATCTTTTATTCGTTATTCGAACCTTTTTATCTAGATAATGAGTTTGCCCATCCCTGGTTATAACCAGGCATCGTTTTCAAATTTCGTCTGTCGTTTTTATTGCGCCGCGAAATGCCTACATTATATCGCGATTCAATAACAATATTTACGGAAAGGTTTAACGTCGCCTGTAGAGAAGCGACTGTTCCCCGGCTATTCCCATTCCTTCGATTGCGTAACACCAACTGGTCAGCGGTGCAGCGAGTCGTGCCCCGCTAGTTTTACCTTTTTTTTTTCTCCTGACCCTCATTTTCTTAACCATGCTCTTCCTGTTTGCGTTTTGTAGACCCCGACTGGGTAAGATTTCTTTTATCTCTTAAGGATACATTAAATTTCGAATGGTTCCCGAGGAGAAATTAAATATCCTTGTTTTTCGTCCCGGCGATCCCCAAGGTCACCTTCGTTCTATTTTATACGGGGTGTCCGTGAACGAAAAGAGACAACACGAACATCTTGGGATAGGACATTGGACCTCAGTTCTCAATGACGTTTTAACGATGTCCCCTCATTTTCATTGAATTTTCTTACAATTTTTCTGCCTGACTATTCGTTCGTGTACCCAGTAGAACGAAGACATTTTTTTTTATTGGATCGACTAGTTCTTCTTCGAGATACGTTACCCGAGATTGGATCGCGATGGGATCCGTTCCCAAGGTCGTCGGGATACGGACAAGTCCAACTAGAAGTATGACACCATGGGATGTGTTTATCGTGTTACAGAGGACAGGCAAGAAATTGACGAGATCGATCATTATCTACACTGCAAAGTAGTCTCTCGTGGTGCCGTTTATAATCCTCTCTTGGCATTTCGCTGAGTGGACAGCGGTCGTCGGAGTCGTCTACGTATTCGGTCCTCGAAAAGAAACCAAAAAAAGAAACGGGGCACGACAGAGAGATGATGGATCGCGGGGCCAACCGTTCGGGGCGTCGCCATCTTGCCATTTTTGCGTAAGCCCGCAAAAAACGTCGGCGTAACGGATCGCGATTTCCACGGACGTAACATTATTCCTTGACGAAAGAATTCATCGAGCTTTTGAAATATTGCCACGGTTTACAGATAAAGAAACTTTCGTATTGCCACAGATCCATGTACGAAATGCAGCTCGACTTTTCTACTTCGGATAGAACGTCACTGATCAATTTTACCAGGTTTATTAACCCTCTAACGGTAAGGTCTGGGTTAGGTTCTAGTTCCTCTTGTCCTATCTCCACTCTAGATTTTATCAATTATTATTCCTTATTATACAAATAATGAAAAATACAACATCAAGATAATTACCTTTCTAAAAAAGAGTTCGGGTCAGTTCCGACCCCGCCTTACCAAGTACAACATTAAAGCTCACATTACCATTCGAGAATTAATTCCCTATAGAGTAGTGTCTAATATCTTTTGTAGATTTAAATCTACACCCAGTATAGGATCTTCCATCGACGAAAAAACTCTAGGGAAATGTATTCGGCCTGATTTCATAAACATTTTTTTCCATGAGACAACGGCATCGTACAAATTCCTCGAATGAGGAGAAAAACCGTTTCCTCTTCGACTGTTCTTCCTCCAATTACATACGCTCTGTCCCGCCGATAAAGTCATTCGAGTAGTTAATTCCAGCACTTACCCAGTGCAATCCAATTAACATTATTCATCCGTAGAATAATCGTGGCTCCGAATCACGTGTTTCGGCTCACTAAACATAGTCGAAGTCTGGTAATCTCGGCTAACTAAGCCTCCGAGACTACCCCTAACGCCAGGAATTCGAGGCCCGTTAGCCAAAATAGTCCTCGGGTCGTTAACTAACAATTATTCGCTGGGTGCATCGCGCTGCTCGGATATCGAGCGTTTATCAGCGCGGATAACAGAGGTCATTAAAATGGGACACGCGATGGTTTCGACATTGTTGCTCCGTTGTTACGCTCGCTGACTCGCGTACCGTCAGGTTTCCTTTTCCCAATTGCTTTTTCTTTTATCGTTGATCGGAAACGGCCAACACGAGCACCGTGGTGGATCGATAACAACCATGTTATCGCAGAACACATACCAACGGCGTGATTTTTCCGTGGAACTCGATTTACTAAACATTTTCGAGTAACTTAAGTTTCTGAGTCAGTGACATAGTACCCTAGGCCTGCGTGATTAGTAGGGTATTCCAGAGATTTTTAGGTAAAATCATCGACGAGGTGTAAGTATTCGCGTAATACAACGTAAGAACTTAACCACCGTGTTATACGAAGGTTACCTGTATTAGTGATAGAAACAAATCGAAATTTTACTTATTGTATAGTATACTTTTGAATTTCTGGCCGCGAAAACGTTAACAATCGACGCCTCCGTGGACGCTGGTTCGGCCCCTGGGTTCCTGTGAGTGTCGGTGCAACGGCAATTGTCTTCAATTGAACGAGGTCGTGAGTCGAGGGACTCTTGCTTCTTCCAGTTCCCATTTACGATTCCAGAAAACAATTGACCTTATTCGCTTGTTTATTCGGGCGAATCGAACTGGACGTATCAGCGGATCCGATGTGTAGCTCTGAATGAATTGTGTTCATATAATGTGAATACACGTTAATTCACGTAAATGTATGTAAATGTACATTGATTGGAATTTGTATTATTGTCTCAGTGCCAGACGCTTCTGCATATTCACGTCTTTTCCTTGCACTACGAAAATGAGGATTAAATCGAGGCGGCCTTTTTTTTAACTATATTGTAATTTATTGTAATTAGATTTTATTTACAAGATAGTCCTGGTAATATTTAATGATTATTAGGCGTAACAAGAACAAGGGTGAATGAAACACTTATGTATTGCAATCAATTGCATTCATTCCAGGTCAGAATTGAAAGTTCACCATACATTAAATTCTCGATAAGTGTTCGCAGGCTTCTCGGCACTGAACATTAAATATTTCGTAAACTAATGGTCTTATGCGGTTGAAACGAATATCATTGTCTTCAGAATTTCAAGCATGATAAACGTCAATAAGAAGTTAGCGTTACACCTGGGGACCTCTCCTTGTCAGTGCCAAGGAGTCTTGGAACATTCATCGAGGATTTACTGTATTCACAGAAGCATACCGTCTGTTTCGATGATCCGTTTTGAGGCCTGTCCTTTTTGTTTGCACATTTCTCGTAGAGTAGCCTGCCACTTTAATGGTGGACGAACACAGATGAGGTCAAACGGTAGAAATTCAAAGTATTACATCTCTCGGGGATCGAGACGCAGACGGTGAACGTTGCGTAAAGTAGCAACAGGGTCAACGGCAGACCCGAATCCCAAGATTTGTATCTATAAACTGTTAACACACTTAACGGGAACCGTACGATTCGTTTTGATCTAAAGGTGAAAGCCGCGCGCGGCGTGGACTAAAAAGCAAAATCGCACAGGTTCCGTTTCGTCTTCGAAACGAGTCGAAAAAAGTAGAACTCGCTGTTATTCATGCTTCACCTAAAACAGTAAAAGAAAGACGATAGAGACAAGAGAAATAAGGGATCTATCTCTCGAAACCTCAATCGAAACAATTTCATTCCTCGGTTTTTATTTAGTTTTCTCGTAATAAATCGTAGTCTTTGTACGCAGACACGGAGGGGAAATACTCTTTCGTGTCCCTTTGATTAAAATCGCTGCCGGGAACGTTCCAAGAGCCGTGTGTCTGGGAACAATTACTGCGCGGAAATTCATCGTCGAGGCGGATCCTTTTGCGTTTTGGTCTCGAGGGGGGCTGGCGAATAATTTGCGACGACCAGGACATGGTGATATACGTGCATACCGTCTCATGGCCGCGGGGTTATTGGCAGTCGATGCTCGCGGTCGTTCGCACTTTGATTCATTCAAGAGGATGAGAAACCGCGCGCTTCCTTTTAGGCCGCCAGCGACAAAAGGTGTCTCCGTTATGTCCACTTTGATACAGATAACCCTTGTGTAACACGATGGTTTCATTCCTGAAAATTGCCGTATTATACGAAATTACGAACTAATTTGTACGGACGTTCGGAAAATAGGGTTGCCTGAACGAAAAACGTCACCAACCAGTGAATTGCCGTGAAAACAGGTTGTGAATGTTTCTGCGTGTATATACAATGGAATGGATCGATTTACGGAAACCAAGATCAAAACGGCAATTTATTGACTCCAATTGTAGGATCTATCAGATTCTAATTGGATTCAAGACCTCAGTGGAGCTTGGTTCGTTTTTTTATTGTACCGTGAATTTTAGACGTGAGTGGTCGGCTATTGATGACATACGGCACGACGGAGTGAATAGCAACGACATGCAAATGAAGCCTTGAAAAGAAAAAAGAGCCAAAGATAAATGTGCTCGGTTCCCAGCGCGGTTTATTAGCGGGGTCGGCTATTATGATGGGATCGAGCAAAAACGAGCGCAGCGAGTGCAGAACGGTGTTAGCTCCCTTACGAAATATGTTTGAGCAACGCCGTATGTGTAGAAGGATTTTTGAAATCGGTTGTTGGTTTCACCCGGTCCGCGAGCTTTCGTAATGTGTCTATTGGAACACGAGGAGATAAAAATTCGCGTAGAAATCGATGGAATATGTTTTCGAACACGACCTGACTTCGATTGCATTCACGAACTGGAAATTATCGATAAAAGTTTGAAAATTGAAGTAGAATGGAGCACGAAATGTTTCCTTCCGAATTATTCGAACAATCTTACTGCATCATTTGAATAACTCTTCTGAAACGTGAGTATGTACTCTGATGATATTTTTCATATGTTTGAGTAAGCCTTCTCGAGACAGTCTAGGCAAGGTTTCCATGATATTTGAGGAATTTTATCCTATAACTCAAGATAACTGTCCGAATTTTTCGAACATCAGGTTGCGTTTTTATTCTATCGGCCATTCTCTCTTGGTTCCTATTTCTCGTCCGTATACAGGTTAGTGTGGGAAGAAACGAGGAAGGGACGGGGAAACAGAACCAGTCCTCGTTTTATGAATTTCGAACCCGTTAGTCAGAACGCGCCCGATAAAAGAACGAAAAAAAGAGAAAAAAAATGTATACGAAATACTGTTATTTCTCCGGGGGCACCTAATCTCGTAACGCGGTCGAGAAACGTTTCATGTCGTGACACATCGAAACCTGTTTCTCCATCGTTTACGGAGGAAAAATCGACCGAATGTCACGCTGCTCGACTGAATTAGACGAGTTCGCGTCCCCGGGAATGAATCACTCAAATGTCACGTCGTGACAGAATGATTTAAAGAACTATTAAATGGAAAGATGTTAACCAAAAGAAAAGAACAAACGAACTCTTGAATATTCAGATCTTTTGGCGTATAAGTAGATTCGTGAATAATCGATCACCCCTGGTGACTAAGACAATACTCCATTTATTCTCCGTTTAAGCGAATAACTTTGCGAGTCATTTGCAATCATTTTTCTAGTCTTGTTTGTTCGCGCGAATCAGCATATGTATATGTGTGTGCACGGTTGTTTATAGATATTGTCCGGGGAGTTCTAAAATTTCAGGATCTTAACCTTATATTATTCATGCACAAGCCTTATATCAACCAGTCATATGTATTTTTTTTTTGTTATATAAGGATTTATGAATTAATACCCGTAGATTTGCATGTATGTTAATTTGCTTGTGGGTAAGTGTATTTCCGCAATGTTCGTGTCAATCCGCGAGCCAATTTAATTCGGAGAGTATTAATGGATTGGCCTACCCTTCCCCCTCCCGAAATTTTGGAAGAATTTTGATTACCTTTAAGTCAGGGTTACGTCGTTTTTACTGCGATATTTTCAGTCACTTTAATGGCAAATGTTTAAGTCAGTTTTATTGCGAATTTTTAAGTCAATTTTATTGCAAATTTTTAAGTCACTCTAATTGCGAATTTTTAAGCTGCGTTAAGGGTCGATTAAATGGAAAGGTGTACGATTGATTTGCGCAGGAACATGATCGTACTTCGTATTCACGGCGACGAATTGATGTTCGGCGGCAGTGGAAGCGTAATGACACATTCGCCACGCATACCCCAGATGGAGATGATGAAGGTCCACATTCCCTTCACCTTCAAGCTTCACGAAAGTTTCAAGAGCACTTATGCCGGTGAGTCTAAACAAACACAGCCCGCCTTTATTCCCAATTCTTTTTTTTCTTCTCTGTTTTTTAACTTTCCTCTTTCCGTCACTTTTACTTACACGCTCGAGTTTGTTTGAAGAAATCACAAGTGATCGATACCGCCACGTAAGCGCGAATCATCGATCGAGAATTGTGAAACGGTGCTACTCGAGGAAACACTCTGTGAAACCTCTGTAGAACCTCGAATCGAGTAAAAGTTGTTTCGTTTGAAGAATCCCTCTACAAAAAATACTCGATTCGATATGCTTCTATATATGTATATGAATCGTTTTATATTCCGGGGACTATAAATCATTCGATGATTATTGCTAGACATCCGGTTCTATGCAAATCGCTCTGCTATTTGTAAAAACAAAATTGCAGAAGGAATTTGCTTCACTAATTCAGAGAGGTGTGTCGGATCATAAATAAGGCAGAAATGTTTATCGATTCTAGTCTGTACTGGATCACGAAGATTGATATATAGACAGAGTTCCCTCTCTATAAGCGCGCTTTATTGTCCTCGTTGTAATCGCGTCATCTTCCCTGTAGCGGAGGATAATCTGCAACTAAATAACAAATTAGACTTCACGGATAGTGAAACAAACACAAAATCGTGACTACCGTGTGAGAACAAGAGAATTTATAGAGATAAACACATTCCTCAGTCTCACTTTAACTAACTCCAGAGGTAGAATACTGTCACCTGTCTCCTAGAATAAATGCAAATTGTACGAATCATTCCATTTTTTGTTCTTCCATCATGCTTTTCAGTCAACTTTTTTATCCTTAATATACCCAGACATGTTAAATACATCTCGAATTATTTATACGTGACTGCAAGACGCAGTTGTCTATTCAACCGTCTTCTATCCAACAGTTCATCGTCCTTCGCGATTATAAAAACTTTCACAAAAAAAAAGGATCCGTCCAATTGAAGGCGCTAGAATAGCCTATCTCGGTACACCCTGTATATCTCACGAACACTAACAAAAGTATGCAAAAAAAATCGTATAAATTATTCCGCAAGACTTTACTTGATTTTATCGCTCGAACGACCTCCCAGTGTTTTCGCTGTTGCACGAAGGCAATGACAGTTACAGAAATAAAATACCTAATAATAGTGATATTTATGCTCGAACTCTGATCCTTGTACACGGTGCGAACCATCGATTCCGTTCACTGCGTTTTATCGCTCGAACGACCCCCAAGGAATCTGAGTTTCTGGGAGATTCCCCTCAAGTGGGAGAAACCGTGGCGTTAAAATGGTAGAAGGTAGAAAAAAACATAGGGCACTAAGAACTGTTTAATTGACGTTAATGATTAATTAAAAATTCTTTATTACGATTAATTCCATACTGTATACTATGTTCCTGTAACTAATGTATGCTTAATGGGTTTATACCCGTTTAATAACTATCTAAATAAATAAATATTACGGATCAGACGACAAAATAGCTCTTGCAAAATTACACACCAGCCCCTGGCAATTCTTTTAGCGGGTGGTATCAGGTTTTCTGCTCCTCGACGTAGCATCGCCATATTTCGGTTTCATAACTCCCCTCCACCAGGTGGGTTAATTAACTTAAAAGAGCGCAGAACGCCCCGTACGGTTCGATCGGGTTGAAAGTAGGTTACAGACGCACGCGTAAGGAGGAAAAAAAAAGAATTGACGATCATTCCCCTTCTTCCCCGTCTTCTGCCCTCTCTTTCTTGCAGTCTTGTCTCTCCCTCGGTTGCTCGCGATTGGTATGCAGGTGTGAAGGCACCTGTAGTTACGAAACGGTTACCTTGACCGCTTGGGCCGGGTCATTGTGAGTCATTTAACCTGCGGAGACGATGATCGGACTCTATTACCGCTTGCGGTATCATCTCCGGATGGAATCGTCTAATTTTCTTTTTTTCCCTTCGATTCCGCACGTCCAGAACGGCGTCGACGTGTCCCACGACCTTTCCATGACAATTCAATTGAACTGTTGGACGTGTCTGGTCTTCGTCGTAGTCAAACGGACGGAAGGCAATTATGATGTACTACACTCTCTGCTTGGAACAGTTACAGTGAATCCTCGATGAGTGTTCGAAGGCTAATCGGCAAGAGAACATTAAATGTTTCATAAACTAATGGCCATCTGCAGTTGAAAGAAATGTTATTGGCTTCGGAATTCTAAGCTTTATCGCTCTTTGTTAGTTCCAAGGAGCCTTCGAACATTCATCGAGGATTTACTGTGGAGGATCGTATACGAGGGGAAACAAAAGAAAATAGGGTTTATAAATTCTGGGGTAGATAGAAAAATTAATATTTTCAAGATTCTGAATAATTGTTGTTTCTTTCTATTCCGTTGGTAGCAATGAATGAAAAATCCCATTAAACGCTCCCAAAATTTAATTTGACAACGAGGGACAAAATGAGGGTCGGATAAGGGTTAAATAATCCAGGAATGGAAGGGTTAACAATGTTAACATTATATACAGTGACACCTAGACCATGGATTCTGTGGATCCATGGAAGAATCTGCTCCCATTTTTTTTTCTTCCTTTCTATTTGGACAGTATCACGTTCCAACATCTGGACAAGCGCCAATTTGTTGTATCCCAATCAGCTAGCTCAGCTGTAAACACACGACGTGACCTCCTTGCCCCCTGATTGTAATTACCGTTGAATAATACGTTCGGTCTCGTAATCATTGTAATTAGCGCGACGTTTTCACGCGGACAAGTGGAAAGATCGGATGGTAAACGCGATCTAATGGTAATACGGTGTGGAACGTGGATCGATCACGTGTCATCGCCGGTGATTTATGCTCGACGCCCGACGACCATCGATAAATGCATTTTTAAGGTGGTTCGTGCCAAATTCGAAAGACTAGATAATTAAATAAAATTCATACTGATTGTTTAATAGAACGAAATACACTTGCACTCGAATACACTCGTCTTCTTTGTACTCGAAAGAATGATACTCTTTTTTTTTTTTTTTTCCCTGCAATCTATAATCCTGTAACCTGTTCTTGGCTTTTGAACGCACGCTGAAAAGTGGACGCGTGTCGTTGGATTTCGCCTTGAGCTAGAAATTGGTGACGCATCGGGCTACACGTTGATCCCGCTGGTAAACAGTTTTATTCATCTTGAATTCGGTCCCCACGAACATATCCCTTTCATTTTGATCTCTCGAATCGAGCTTAAAAAGTAGCTTTCCCATTGTTCTCGTACCATCAATCGTTCAGAACATTAATCACCCAAGTAGTATTGACATTACATTAATAAAATCTCGATCTATCATTTGCACTTGATAAATCGTTAGATGTAGACGTGGAGTCGGGGTATAATTAACTGGTGGAACCAAAATGGCGCTGTAACGGGGATTTCCGAGTTCTGTTATACGAGACACTCTGTGATGGCACATTTTCTCCAATTTATAGAGATTTCATTAATACGTATCCAGGTTGATAACGAGGCCTGGTAACGTACCAGCCGTCAGTTGACGTCGTTACCGTCGATACTCGCGAATGTTTCACTCGTCGAGTATTTATCAATGACTCAAAACTGTCAACAACCGAATCCATAACACGTATTATCGATTTGTTATCGTTATCGTCCCACGTCACGACACTGGAAAGACCGTTCTCCACGGGTATATACGTCGGAAACGATCAATGGCTCGTTTCAAGAGTCCTTCAATATCGTTCCTGGAGCGTCTATAAAACGTTTTCTAAGAAAGTGTACACGTACACGCATGTACCTCGAGAGATGTAATACTAACCCACGAGCGACGTCTTCAAAATGGAAAGTCCTCTCGACAACGAGGAGATTTTGAAACATCCATGGATCGTTGACCGAATCCCATCGCTAATTTCTATTGATCGACAGACGTAAAAAGAAGTCACGAGAAGTCCCTCACCGTTGAGACTGGTCTGAAGTTTTTCTCTTGAATCATCCCACATTCTCTGACAAATAGACGGAAAGTGAAATAAGTTTCTCTTCGCTGCTCGCCAACCCAATGTGCTTCGATAAGATAATGTTCACGTAACAATTTCATTACCTCAAGGAGGTTTTAAACACGACTCTGAAGTTTGTCCATCCGTTTCTCTACGTAACGCCAACAGATGAGTAGGCTTTGCTAGTAGTATCTCCATTAGGAGTCTCTTAAATGTACAGGGTGATAAAAGAAAATTGAAACAACGAAATTGTGAATAAGAAACTAATAACAATTTCAGAAAATCTTCTGTGACCAGGAAAATAAGAAATTATAAGGATAATCCATCATTTCCGAAAGGTATGATAGCCCCCGAAGGGAGAACGTCACTAGTTTTACCCGAAACAAAAGATTGTCCATAACTTTTTTTTTTCATCATTTGGCGAGTACTATTTACTCTAGAAGTTATGAACCCCCATTTATTTTTATCACCCTGTATATCGCCTGAGTAGCACTTAATCGGATCCAACGAGTATTCTATTTTAAAAAATATAAATTTCTACATTTACTCCTGTCTTTATAAATTACTTTAGAAAATATTGTTTTGCATAAAAATCCGAAGTCCAGTGATAAATCACCGTTAGTGATTTTGACCACCATCTCTAGTCAGAAATTCAGTTTTACTGTGAGGCAGCAAGAGAGCAGCTCTTTCAGCGCGCGCACGACGGTCGCGTTGCAAGGCAAGGGCACAGAGAGACCGTTTTCGAATTCCAGGCCCGTAGCCAGAGGTGACCATGTAAAAAAAAAAACCGTGAGGGTCGATAGCAGAGTTTAGTCTCGTTCATCGGGGACGGCTCGTCGTTCCTCTTGCTGGAACCGACACGCTGTGATTACGTAACATACGTGACAATAGCTGAAACAATTTCCACTCGGTTGTGTCCGATGCAGGGCGTATGATTAATAAAAAAAAAAAAAAAAAAAGACCCCCTTTATGGGTGTACACGAGAACTCCAGGTGTCGCGGGGAACGCTCGTTCCCACGCGATTACAAAACTGGAATCGGATAAGTTGACATA